CATGGAATATTTTTCCATCTCTTTGTGTCTTCCTCAATTTCTTTCAGAAGTGTTCTATAGTTTTTAGGGTATAGATCCTTTACCTCTTTGGTTAGGTTTATTCCTAGGTATCTTATGCTTTTGGGTGCCATTGTAAATGCGACTGACTCCTTAATTTCTCTTTCTTCAGTCTCATTGTTAGTATATAGAAATGCCACTGATTTCTGGGCATTGATTTTGTATCCTGCCACGCTACCAAATTGCTGTATGAGTTCTAGCAATCTTGGGGTGGAGGCTTTTGGGTTTTCTATGTAGAATATCATGTCATCGGCGAAGAGGGAGAGTTTGACTTTTTCTTTGCCAATTTGAATGCCTTTAATGTCTTTTTGTTGTCTGATTGCTGAGGCTAGGACTTCCAATACTATGTTGAATAGCAGTGGTGAGAGTGGACATCCCTGTCTTGTTCCTGATCTTAGGGGAAAGGCTCCCAGTGCTTCCCCATTGAGAATGATATTTGCTGTGGGCTTTTCATAGATGGCTTTTAAGATGTCGAGGAAAGTTCCCTCTATCCCTACACTCTGAAGAGTTTTGATCAGCAATGGATGCTGTATTTTGTCAAATTCTTTCTCTGCATCTAATGAGAGGATCATATGGTTCTTGGTTTTTCTCTTGCTGATATGATGAATCACATTGATTGTTTTACGAGTGTTGAACCAGCCTTGTGTCCCGGGGATAAATCCTACTTGGTCATGGTGAATAATTTTCTTAATGTGTTGTTGGATCCTATTGGCTAGTATCTTGTTGAGAATTTTTGCATCCATGTTCATCAGGGATATTGGTCTGTAATTCTCCTTTTTGGTGGGGTCTTTGTCTGGTTTTGGAATTAAGGTGATGCTGGCCTCATAGAATGAGTTTGGAAGTACTCCATCTCTTTCTATCTTTCCAAACAGCTTTAGTAGAATAGGTATGGTTTCTTCTTTAAACGTTTGATAGAATTCCCCTGGGAAGCCATCTGGCCCTGGACTCTTGTGTCATGGGAGGTTTTTGATGACTGCTTCAATTTCCTCTCTGGTTATTGGCCTGTTCAAGTTTTCTATTTCTTCCTGCTCCAGTTTTGGTAGTTTGTGGCTTTCCAGGAATGCGTCCATTTCTTCTAGATTGCCTAATTTATTGGCGTGTAGCTGTTCATAATATGTTTTTAAAATCGTTTGTATTTCCTTGGTGCTGGTAGTGATCTCTCCTTTCTCATTCATGATTTTATTAATTTGAGTCTTCTCTCTCTTCTTTTTAATAAGGTTGGCTAATGGTTTATCTATCTTATTAATTCTTTCAAAGAACCAACTCCTGGTTCTGTTGATCTGTCCCACAGTTCTTCTGGTCTCGATTTCGTTGAGTTCTGCTCGAATCTTTATTAACTCTCTTCTTCTCCTGGGTGTAGGGTCCATCTGCTGTTTTTTCTCTAGCTCCTTTATGTGTAAGGTTAGCTTTTGTATTTGAGTTCTTTCCAGTTTTTGAATGGATGCTTGTATTGCGATGTATTTCTCCCTCAGGACGGCTTTTGCTGCAACCCAAAGATTTTGAACGGTTGTATCTTCATTCTCATTAGTTTCCATGAATCTTTTTAATTCTTCCTTAATTTCCTGATTGACCCTTTCATCTTTTAGCAGGATGGTCCTTAACCTCCACGTGTTTGAGGTCCTTCCAAACTTCTTGTTGTGATTTAGTTCTAATTTCAAGGCATTACGGTCTGAGAATATGCAGGGGACGATCCCAATCTTTTGGTATCGGTTCAGACCCGATTTGTGACCCAGTATGTGGTCTATTCTGGAGAAAGTTCCATGTGCACTTGAGAAGAATGTGTATTCAGTTGAGTTTGGATGTAAAGTTCTGTAGATATCTGTGAAATCCATCTGGTCCAGTGTATCATTTAAAGCTCTCATTTCTTTGGAGATGTTGTGCTTAGAAGACCTATCGAGGGTAGAAAGAGCTAGATTGAAGTCACAGAGTATAAGTGTATTATTATCTAAGTATTTCTTCACTTTGGTTATCAATTGGTTTAAATATTTGGCAGCTCCCACATTCGGGGCATATATATTGAGGATTGTTAAGTCCTCTTGCTGGATAGATCCTTTAAGTATGATATAGTGTCCCTCTTCATCTCTCACTGTAGTCTTCGGGGTAAATTTTAGTTTATCTGATATAAGGATGGCTACCCCTCCTTTCTTTTGAGAACCATTTGAGTGGTAAATGGTTCTCCAACCTTTTATTTTCAGGTTGTAGGTGTCCTTCTGTCTAAAGTGAGTCTCTTGTAGACAGCAATAGATGGGTCCTGCTTTTTTATCCAGTCGAAACCCTGCGCCTTTTGATGGGGTCATTAAGCCCGTTCACGTTCAGAGTTACTATTGACAGATATGAGTTTAGTGTCATCATGATATCTATTCAGTCCTTATTTTTGTGGATTGTTCCACTGAACTTCTTCTTAAAGGGGAATTTTAAGAGTCCCCCTTAAAATTTCTTGCAGAGCTGGTTTGGAGGTCACATATTCTTTCAGTTCCTGCCTGTCTTGGAAACTCTTTATCTCTCCTTCCATTTTGAATGAGAGCCTTGCTGGATAGAGTATTCTTGGTTGCATGTTCTTCTCATTTAGGACCCTGAATATATCCTGCCAGCCCTTTCTGGCCTGCCAGGTCTCTGTGGAGAGGTCTGCTGTTACCCTAATATTCCTCCCCATAAAAGCTAGGGATTTTTTTGTCTCTTGCTGCTTTAAGGATCTTCTCTTTATCTTTAGAATTTGCAAGCTTCACTATTAAGTGTCGAGGTGTTGAACGTTTTTTATTGATTTTAGGGGGGGATCTCTCTATTTCCTGGATCTGAATGCCTGTTTCCCTTCCCAGATTAGGAAAGTTTTCAGCTAGGATTTGTTCAAATACATATTCTGGCCCTCTGTCCCTTTCGGCGCCCTCGGGAACCCCAATTAAACGTAGGTTTTTCTTCCTCAGGCTGTCATTTATTTCCCTTAATCTGTCTTCATGGTCTTTTAGTTGTCTGTCTCTTTTTTCCTCAGTTTCTCTCTTTGCCATCAACTTGTCTTCTATGTCACTCACTCGTTCTTCCACCTCGTTAACCCTCGTCGTTAGGACTTCTAGTTTGGATTGCATCTCATTCAATTGATTTTTAATTTCTGCCTGATTGGATCTAAATTCTGCAGTCATGAAGTCTCTTGAGTCCTTTAGGCTTTTTTCTAGAGCCACCAGTAGCTGTAGAATAGTGCTTCTGAATTGGCTTTCTGACATCGAAATGTAATCCAGATTTTGTAACTCTGTGGGAGAGAGGGCTGTTTCTGATTCTTTCTTTTGAGGTGAGGTTTTCCTTCTAGTCATTTTGCTCAGTGCAGAGTGGCCAAAAACAAGTTGTATTGGGAAAAGGAGAAAAAGAGAGAGAGAGAAGGAAAGAAAAGAGAAAAAGAAAAAAGAAAAAAGGAAGAAAAAAAGGAAAAAGAAAGAAAGGTGAAAAAAAGGGGTGGGGGAAGCAATCAGAAATCAAAAAGAAAAAACAAAAAAAAAACCACGGGGAGTATCTTCTGATTCTGTAGACTTTAAGTCCCTTGACTTCCCCTGGAACTGGTCCGTCCAGCTGGTCTTCTGGGGGAGGGGCCTGCTGTGCTGATTCTCAGGTGTTAGCACTTGGGGGAGCTGCTCTGCCCCTGCCTGGTGCAGGGCTCAGCGGGGGTTGTTTACCCCGTGAGGCCCCAGGAGGAACAGCCCCAGTGGCTGTGGCAGCTCTGGAAGCCTGGATTCAGCCTCCGCAGTAACTATGGGGCTCTCCGTCCGCAGGGCCTGGAGGCTCCGGGGCGGGGCCGCTGATCTGCTCAGCTCGGGGCAGGAGCGTCCTCGCTGTCCTGGGCCCTCCCGGCCTCTGCCTGTCCCGGGGGAGGCCGGATCCTGGGCTGTGTCCCGGCGCCCTGTGCTCCGGGGCCTGCGCTGTGGGATTCGCGCTCCCACCCCGCAGCCCCCTCCGTGGAGCCGCTCCCGAGCCCCTCCGAGCTGCTCTGGTCGGTCCCCGCCGTGCGCGCTGCAGCCCTTAGGGAGCTCGGAGCACTCTCCCGGGGCGCAGGTGTCTGTTAGTGTCCCCGGGAGCCCGAGGGCATCCCCGCCCTCCTGGGTCCTGCTCCAACTCCCTGCGAGCCCCTTTCCGCCCGCCCGGGAAGGTTGGTGCAGCTCCTGCTTCTCCGGGACGGGGCTCTCCTGTCCTGGGGACACTCGCCCCGGCCTCAGCCCGGCTCCTCGCGGGGCCCCTCCCCCTCGGAGGCCTTTTGTTTCTTTATTTCTTTTTCCCCGTCTTCCTACCTTGATGGAAGCGCGAACTCTTCTCACTGTAGCATTCCAGCTGGTCTCTCTTTACATCTCAGGCCGAATTCGTAGATTTTCAGGATGATTTGAAGGTTATCTAGGTAATTTGTTGGGGACAGGTGACCTGGGGACCCTACTCTTCCGCCGTCTTGCTCCTCCTCTCCTAACTTTATATTCTTTAACAACAAATCAATAGTCCAGAGCAATTAATTTCTGTATCTAGTACCGAAAGAGGAGATGGACAGCAGAATGTAGTTCAACAGCTTACTTTACTGCCACAGCATTCTCCAGGTAGAGGGTGGAGGGAGTCCCATTTGTTCAGTAGCACATACTCACCGCTTCTTGAGATACAGTGGGTAGAATGCTGGTTTTGGATCTGCTCATATGAGTTAGTGGAATTGGATTAGCTTTTTCATTGTAGAATTTTTTGGTTTATTGAATAGTACTCAAGATCAAAATTTTTAAATCAGGAAAAAGATCTTGTTGTAGAGAGAGTTCAGAGACTCAGCAGCAGCTAAGGGCACATCTAAATTCCGATGGAATTTAGGCTAAAAAATATATACACTACGACTCTTTTCATCTTTCTGGAAGCATCTATCTATACAAACAGCATGTAGCATATTTGAAAGATTTTAGTACCACACAACCTACTTTTCTCATCTTTCCTCACAGCTCCAGCTGCATCAGAGACTGTGAGAGCATTTTTGGGTCAGTCAGTGATTTTGCCCTGTACCTACTCATCCTGGTCTCAAAAGAGCAACAGCATGTGCTGGGGCAAGGGTGAGTGTCCCAAATCCAAATGCAATGATGAGCTTCTCCACACCAATGGGAGGAAGGTGCTGTCCAGGAAGTCATCAAAATATGAACTTCGGGGCAGTATCTGGAGAGGTGATGTCTCCTTGACCATCTTCAACACCAATGAAGGTGACAGCGGTGTGTACTGTTGCCGCGTAGAGGTGCCTGGCTGGTTCAACGATGTGAAGAAGAACATTCACCTGCAGCTGAGTAGAGGTGTGTGCACAAAGTGGGTTGTGTTTGTGGGAGGACAGATCCAACAGTTAATGAGGAATGGATTCAGTGGGTGGTGCGGCTGTAGGTGCTTACATGTGAGTGGGCAGATTAAATCTAAGACACGTCACTATGGCTGGAGCAGCCACAGTATGGAGCAAATGCCCATGGCAGCTAAGAAGACCACAGAAATTAATGAGTGGAGAGTGCAGGGGAAGACAGTCAGTGAATTGCAGGGTCAATATGCAGAGGGCATCTGCTTCTTGTCTAGGAGATTGTCACTTCACCGAAATCTGTGTACATGTTCTCAGATCTCCCAGTTTTTATGTGCACAGCATAAAAATATGCATGTTGGCAAAGGTCAAAAAATAACTACCATGTAAACTAAATAAAATGGGTCCATGGGTCAACTTCAGCCCATCAGCCAATAATTTGTGACTTCCAGCAGTGGGAAAAGGGCGTGAGATTTGGAGACAGTCACAACAGTTTTCAGGTGGCCCTTCCTTCTGTTCCTATTATTTGCTTTTGATGAATTTGGAATATGTTGGAACTCTTAAAGATTGGAGCTGCATGGAAGGCAGCCTATGGTTGAATTGTGCTAACGGTAATCACCTTTCCTGCTTGCCTGCAATGGAGCCTCTCGGGGTAAGCTCTGTGTTCAACCTGCATCAAAGATAGAAGGTTCTTGTGCTCTGTTCCTAACTGGGTAGGCATCTTGGAAGGCAGAGTCATACAGTTATAGCCATATACTTAACAACATTCTCAGGTGACTCCAATGCACTCTAAATTTTGTGAACAACTTATACGGTTGCTTCTCATTAGACGACTTTCATACACATTAGTATATTTTTTTTCTAAAGGCGACTTTGTGATACAGAAGTTATTTTTCTGATTTATGAATTTTTTTTGAAGTTAAATGATGCTAATCCAAGCCTTCTCTTTTCCAGCCTGGTATAACCAGCTATTATTTTATAAAATACTTGTCGAACTCAATATCTATGGGTCATTTCTAAGGTGACTGGAATCTGTTAGAGTTAATTGAAATCTTGCATATTCAAGAGAGGGAAGCATATATAGAATAACTATGGCTGATGAACCGAAATTCAAATGTTAGGGGTGAGTGGTGTTGGCATAAACTTTTCTTTAGTATCTGAAAGAGATTACATTCTTACCCTATGCTGCATATTTTAGGCTCACTTTTTTTTAGATTTTAATTTTATTTTATTGTGGAAAGAACATCTAAGATAAGTTCTACTAACTTAACAATTTTTCTTTCTTTTTTTTTATTTTTATTTATTTATGATAGTCACACAGAGAGAGAGAGAGAGAGAGAGGCAGAGACACAGGCAGAGGAAGAAGCAGGCTCCACGCACCGGGAGCCCGACGTGGGATTCGATCCCGGGTCTCCAGGATCGCGCCCTGGGCCAAAGGCAGGCGCTAAACCGCTGCACCACCCAGGGATCCCCAACTTAACAATTTTTCAAGTGTACATTATTGTTAACTGCAAGTACGATGCTGTACAGCAGAATTCTGGTGTTTCTTTATCTTGCTTGACTGAAATTTTATGTTTGGGTTTTTAAAAAAGATTTATTTATTCATGAGACACACACACACACACACACACACACACACACACACACACACAGAGACATAGGCAGAGGGAGAAGCAGGCTCCCTACAGGGAGCCTGATGTGGGACTTGATCCCAGATCCCACCACAATCATGCCCTGAGCTGAAGGCAGACACTCAACCGCTGAGCCACCCAGCCGTCCCTTGGATTCACTTTTGATGCAATTGTTCATTTGCTCATTGATGCAATGTTTTTGGAACACCTACTATGTACCCAACCCCGTGGTTGGTATTAGATTTGTTGCAGAAAACAAAATAAACCTCAGATTTCCCCTCATGGAGCTTACAAATCCAGTGGGAGAAGCAGGTGTTAAACCACAATCATTAGATAAAATCTGCAGTTATGTAATTCAGCAAATGCTGTGAAGGTAAAGTATGAGAGCACAAAACCCAGAAACCTAGTTATGATGGCAGAAAATGGGTGACCTCCCATAGCAGTGTCCTTTTAGCTGTAACAAGAGGGTTCAGTAGGAGCCAGCCTAATGAAGGGAGAGGCTAGGAAGCCATCAGCACAAAGTCCCTCCTGTGTGAGGTCATTGTTCAGAGAGATGAAGAAGGGGGAGTGGGCTGGGGAAAAGCAAGAAGAGTAGAGCAGAGACCTGAGATTGGAAAGAAAGAGCCAGATCACGTGGAGTTTTAGGGGCCACGTTTGGGTTGGGTCCGTTATCTGAAGAGCACGAGGAACCAGTAAAAAGTTCTAAGCAAGGGATTAACATAATTATTTGTCATTTAAAAAGATTATTTTAACTAATGTGTGAAGAACAGATTAGAAAGTCAAATCTAGAGGCAAGAAACCCAACTTTCATGGGCATATGGACCATGGACCAGTGGACCAGATAAGGGCAGCAGGAATGGAGAGAAGTGGACAGATCCCACATGTATTTGTATGGTTTCCCTTTTCTTCCATCTTCTATTGGTTACAGCCCCGACAACCACACAATCAACAACACATCTCCCAAAAGCCACCTCTGCTGTGAGGACAGCCACAACTGCGCTTCCAACAACGGCTGTGAATATACCTGAGCTCACAACCAGAACACCACTCCAGACAAGAACCACCACTGCTCTCACAACAGTGGCAACTACATGCCCTCCAACAACGAGAACCCTACTTCCTGAAGCAACTACAGTTCTTCCAACAGCTGAGTTTTCCACAGAAGGGCCTATCCTCACTGCAGGTACATGGTACATTTGGCCATTGTCTCCCTTCTGCCAGTAAGATGTATCTTGGGTCCCTTAAAACAGGGTTCTTTTTACTGAATGGGGCAGTTCAGAGACTTGCTCTTGGGTCTGTGTGTGTATATGTGTGTATATTGGTTTGCTAGGGCTATCATAACAAACCACAGACTACAGGACTTGATTTATTTTATTTTCTCAGATTTATTTTCTCATAGTACTGGAGACTAGAAGTCTGAGATAACAGAGTCAGTAGGGTTGATTTCTTCTGGGGCCTCTTTCCTTGGCTTCAGATGGCAGCCTTCTCCCTGTGTTTTCACATGGTCTTCCCCTCTGTGAATGTGTGTGTCCTAAACTTATCTTCTTATAAGAACATGGCTCCTATTGAATTAGGGCCCATCCATATAACCTCATTTTACCTAAATAGCCTCTTTCTCCGGGTATAGGGGGTATAGGAAAGGTATAGGGGTTAGGAGCTCAACATATGAATTTTTTAGCTTATAGCTATGGGTGTGTATGTGTGTTTGTGTTTGTGGGTGTCAGTGAGATTGTGGTTTCACTAACCTGTTCCTTTTCTTTGCTTTATGGTTTCCTTTTTTCTCCTATTCCTCCTCCCCACCTTTTTATGAAAGTTTTATTTATTTATTTATTTATTTATTTTTTTTTCTTTTGTTTTGTTTTGTTTTGTTCTCCAGTTGACCTTCCAGGAAGCTTAGAGATACTTATTAAAGAACCAGGAAATGTCACCCAGGGGTCAGACTCCAGTTTCATTCTTCCAGGGGTTAAGTCTCCACCTGGGTGTTAGAGAATGGTTGAAGAAAGGCCTCCACATGCCTTAAAATAAACTTTATGATGAACTAGTTCTACCTTTGTCTCTTCCTTCCATTTTTCTTCCATTCCTCCCTGCCATTTTGATCCTTTTCCCCCTTCTCCCTCCCCTCAGTCCTTTTGGATTCTGCATCTTGGACCCTCATTGATTTACTAGGTCCATTACTTATAGGGCTTATCAAAGTTCCCACCATGTTTCAACCTCTAATTCCGATGTAAGAATATTGGAAAACCATTAAGAGATAGCATGAAGGTTTCTTAGGTGTCTCAGCTGCCTCAGTAAGGCCTGGATAATTTAAAAAGCTTTACAATATTGAACTGGCTAATTCTGTTATACTGTGAGTAGTCCCCTAAAGTCCATGAATCATAAACCAGTCAATTTTTGTACATATTTTTTATTCTTTCGGACTTTACAATAATCAAGTTGAAATATAACATTTGTAGTTTTCTCCCCTTGATCCTAAAAATTACTTGCAGTCCTTGAAGAAAACCTGAAATGTATCAAAAAAAAAAAAAAAACCACACAAAAACAGCTATAAAAATAGCCCTGAATCCCACCACTCAGCACAAACACTTTTTTTTGTTGTTGTTCTGTTTAATTGAACTTTTTTTCTCTTCCAGCGTCAGAAACTTTCTTTCTCTCTAGTGACTCTGAGAGAAGCACTGAAGTGCTTTCTGGAAACATTGCCTTATTTACATCCCAAGGTAGGTGAACACTTGCTTGCTTTTTCTTTTCCTTATTTTTTGCACCGAGGAGAATCAAATGTTTAATCAGATGATTAGAGATGATTTTTGGGTCCTGAATGCCATGAACCCCACCAAAGGCAAATTAGACAGCATTTGTGGTTCATTCATTCTTGTGGCTTTGAGAGAGAAAGGGGGGGGGGCGGCGAGAGAGAGAGAGAGAGAGAGAGAGAGAAAGAGAGAGAGAGAGAGAAAGAGATTGGGACAGATCTTGATTTGTTTCAGTAATTCTTCTTGGTAGCATATCTCTGAGGTATTTGCCATTCCATTCTAGGTAAGGTAGCACTTAGCTTTCTCATCCTAATTCCAAGCACCATGATCTTCGTAGATCTCCTTGAGGGATGTCCTCACTTGACTCACTGGCTTTCTGTAGTAGAGGAGGAATTCCTTCATTCCTGACCTTTCATCCATCCATCAAGGTTCTTTATGTATTTACTAGGGCCCAAAGGCAGAGAACACCTTAAAAGTAAGGCATGATTCACATCTCTGGGGCGGGGGGATAGAACTTTCCAACCTTGGCTCCCTATTCTACCACTTTTTGCCAGGAGTCTCTGGCCTTGATTTATTCCCGGGTTAGTTGGAGAGTTATGTAACTTTATGCATATAATGGCCGAAGGCAAGTGGCTGGCGTGTTAGTAAGTGCTCAAGTGGTAGGTATTACTTAATGGGGCTTATAGCCAAGTAGAAGAAAGCAGGTATCTATAGAGTAAATAAATAAATCCAGTCTTGTGTTAGTACAATATAAAGAGGTAGTATGGTAGGTAGGGTGGTTCTTGTGTGTGCTCTGGCATCAGACTACCCGGGTACTACTTCTGCTTCCCATCTGCTAGGTGACTCTGGGAAAGTTGTTTTATCTCTCTGGGCCTTGGCTTCCTTATTGGTAAAATGAGAATAATAATAATACCTATCCTGTGTCTCTTATTGAGGATTAAATGAGAAGATGCATGGAGATGACTTAGAACAGTGTTGGCATGTACTAAATTCTTAGTAAACATTAGCTCTTCTTCTTCTTCTTCTTTTTTAAGATTTTATTTATTTATTCATGAGAGACACACACACACACAGAGGCAGAGACACAGGCAGAGGGAGAAGCAAGCTCTGCGCAGGGAGCCTGACATGGGACTCAATCCTGTGTCTCCAGGATCACACCCTGGGCTGAAGGTGGCGCTAAACCACTGAGCCACCCAAGCTGCCCTCTTTTTTTTTTTTTTTTTTTTTTTTTTTTTAATAACAGAAGTTACTTTAGGGGACAGTGAGGCACTAAAAATAAAAAAGACAGGTGTTTACCTAAGTTTGTTTTCTCTTTTCCTTTTTTATTTTTTTCAGAATCTGAAGATTGGGTTCTCCAGTCAACATCCCAGGTGTCCAAGTGGGAAATGAGTGACTCAGTGACTTTTCCTCAAACAGGAGGTAAGGGGCTGTGCTCCTGAGAGTGGTTTTGTCTGGGGCCATGGGAACAATCTGATCTGTCATTTGCCTGCTTGTCTTGGGATTCGGCTATTTTGGTTCCATTGTGGTTACACCCTACATCATCCCACAAGCTAGGATGAAAGTGAAACCTGCTAACAGCATCCATGCTGGCTTCTTCCCTCCTCTGCCTCATTTCTGAAACTTCTTGTTGGGATTCCCCCTCTTTCTTGGCTGCTTCTATCCTGAAGCTAGAAATGCCAGAAAATCATCCATTTATTTAAAAAAATATTAGTAAGCAATTGATGGTAGGTTGCACAAATATTGCACTAATGTACTTTTGTTAGGGATGCATAAAAACAATAGATAAAAATTCTTGTTGACTGCCTGTCTTGAATCCTAGCCCTTCCTCTGTGATAATCACTGCTATTAGTTGAAGATGAACATTCTTCAGACCCGTTTCTATTTGCTTATGTGTATGTATAGATAGATATAGGAAAATGCGGTTTTGTTTTGTGTGTGGATTAAAAAAAATCTGACATAGTGTATGCAGCCTTCTGCATCTTGTTTTAGTCACCTAATGTTATATATTGGGCCACTTCCTTCTCCAGGCCAGGTAGATCTGCATCATTGTGTTAAATTGCTGTATAGTATTTTATACCATGGATACTTGTAGTATCTATCACCCACTAAGGGACATTGAGGTTGTTCTAATATTTCATGACCATAAATAGTTTGCAGGGATCATCCTTGTATGTGGGTGCCTTCTAAGTGTCTATGCTGGTGTTTCCCTCACTAGAGGATTGACCAAAAGGAAAAATGGTAGGCTGAAAGTGATGTGCACTTAAATATAACAGCCATTACAAAATTGCCTTCTGGAAGGGCTTTGCCAATTTATTTTCCCATCCACAGAGTGTCTGCTTTCCTACGTCCTCCCTACCTTTGATAGGACCATCTACTTAAATTTTTTCAATTTCCTGAGGGGAAAAAGTCATCTTATGCTTTTGTTGTTCTGATTAACAAAAAGAGTTTGAGTGTCTTTTTATATGTGCATTAGCCAGAAAGTGATAGTTCTTCAATTCTGTGAGGGAGGCAATGTAATATCACTCACCAAAGGCTCAGAAGACAAAATTGGAGGGGACAGGCAAGAGTGAGTGGAAGGGGGATATGTTTTGAAGGAAGGCTATAAATCAAGATGAAATGCAAGTGTGATCTAAAGTTGAAAAGCTTTGACATGCACTATCTCATCCAGCAGGAAGACAGAAAATCTGAACTAGTAGTTGTTAACTGAAGGGAAGCTAGATGCCCAAGATCCAAACTTTTTTCTGTGACATTGGGTAAGGGGGCGGGGGCTATTTTCTGGCTGAAGAGAAGGGAGCAACTAGAAAAATGATGGCAGGTGGGCAAGGAGTTTTCAAAATGTTATCATTCATTCCATTTAAATCTTGGACTATTTTACATTAAATTGAAAGGGAACAAGAGGTCATCTTGAGGTTTTACCCTCTTCTGTAATGTCTCTGGAAATTTCATTTCCCTCTTCCTTGATAAATCACTCTCTGGAGGAGAGGGAATACTTGTAGCAACTAAAGGCTGCACTGCTGAAGAGGACCTTGTTATAAGAAGGTCTCTCTCTGTGTAACCTTTATTTATTGTGGAAGAAACCAGGATTTATTGAACATGTATTATGTGCTGGTGCAGAGCCAAGCTGTTCTCATGTTGCTACTTCGTTCAATTCCTCTTTGGCAGATGTTCATATCCTTATTTTGTGCAACTTTCCTGAGGCCATGCTACTATCAGGTGCCAGAAGCAGGAAGTCTAGCCCTGAGTCCATGCTCTTAGATATTATTTTAATTTGCTTTGCCTTCCATTCTGAAATAAAAGTTTATGTTTATTTCATTTACTGTTCTCACATCCCATTGGTTTTTGAAATGAAACCTTTGTAATAATAATTGTGCTTCCCATCGGCCGAGGACTTAATTATGTGTCAGGTGCTGTATTAACAGTGTTTAATGTACATTTTCTGATTTAAGTCTCACAGTGACCTTCTGATCAGGTCAGATATTAATCCCCATTTTTCAGACAAAGAAATGGAGGGTCAGAGAGTTTAGTAGAGATGCTGACACCTATTGAAGTCTCTCTTTGTTTTTTAACACTGTGCATGTTGAGTGCATTACTTCATTTGACTTTTCACAAAATCCTAGGAGATAGATACCATTATTACCTCCATTTCAGAGTCTGTGAAGGTTGTCTAACTTATCTAATAACTGATGGCCTGGGTTTAATTGTATCTGTTCAACTGTGATGCCACTCTGACACTGTGCTGTGCTGTTTCCCTCCCCACCACGCCCCAGTCTCCTCTCTGGGACAACTTATAGAGTAAGTCAGAATTAGTCCTACTTCTCTATTCCTGTGAAAATGGTTTCAACTCATTTCAGAGGGCCCATATGCCTCTGTGGGATTTCCCCCCTACCCTGGGTAAATATCCCCAATTCCTTCCTCATTTCTTCATGTAATTTTGCATGGCAAGCCTTCAATTGATGAGAGCTGGTTTAAATCCTTCAAGAAGATCTGATCAAAAATTGTTATTCCCTAAAATTAGAGTGACAACTCTTTACCCTCACTCTGTGGCTCCCTTGACTGCAATTCAGAGATGTGGAGGGACTTGCCCAAGATCACATAGCTGAGCAGAGGGAAAGTTGGGACTAAAACCTAGACCTTAGAGATTTTAAACTTTTTCCTGGGTGGAGTTGTCTGTGGATGGGCTGGAGGGTGGTATGAATCCCCTGAAATTACATATATAATTGTGTATATATATGTGCACCCACATCTTTTGGAGGGAAAAGTCCAGAAGATTTCTTGAGATTCTCTAAGCATTCTGCAAAACTCTAAATGGTTTAGAACCATAATTCAAACACAAACAAACAACAACAATAAAAACTCTCACAGGTTTCTACCCCCAGCTAACAAGAATCCAAGGAATTGGATTCCAAGGAATACAAACTCTGATCCCTCAAAGTGATTAGATACTCAAATCATTCCGTCCAGCCCAAGGGTTAATTTCATTTCTTCCTTGGCAGCAGGAATGTATGAAATGGTCCTAAACTCTCTCCTGGGGAGGGACCCTGCAGCCCTAATCACAGGGTTTGGGATTAAGTCTTCCATTGATTATACCTCTGGTCCTTCTACAGCCTCCATAACATCTCAGATCCTTTCTTTCCAGTCTTTTCTCCTTATCGTCTCCCAAGTAGCATTGAGGGAGGGTTGAAAGAGCTCTACTGTGGGGTCTGAAGGCTCAGGCTTATATTTAAGTTCTGCCATTTTGCGTGTGTGTGTGTGTGTGTGTGTGTGCTGTTTTGGGGGTTTTTGTTTTTTTGTTTTTTTTTCCAGAACCTCGGGTGAGTTACTTGTTTTATTCTTTTCTAAATCTCAGTTTCCTCAAAATGTACAGTGAAGATAATAGTAGTATTTATTTCATAGGACTATTCAGTGAGGAAGTGCATGAGACAGATGTCTAGGCCTTAACTAGGGGCTAGTAAATGATAGTCATCATGCTAGATTCTTATTTGCTCTCGTCTTTACACCTCTGCTGCTATTCCTACTCACACATCACACATTCCTACTTTCATCTGTAGGCCAGTCCAGCAGCGTGACAAGAGGCTATGTCTACCAGCTCCCAGTTGACTTGCTGTTCCTTATAAGTATACAGACACTTTTTGGTTTTAGAATTTTTATTAACTGCTACTCACATCAGGGATACAGCCAATGAGTGACAAAATTGCAAACTTGGGAAAGTTACAAAAGCTCTTAAAATCTCACAGTAGTAATTCTCTACTTGCTATCGGAGTAAATCTGAGATTCTGAAAGTTCTTCACTAAATTCCTTTTAGATAGCTCTACAGATTTCTCAATTACTGCTTTTATTCCTACTTCTGTACACCTTTATCTTCTGCCTCTTGTTTTGTCCCCCTCACAGTGCTCAGTCTAGGGAGGCTCCACTCTATAATGTAGGCTTGGAAATCAAGTCATAGTAGAAAAAGAGCTGTGGTTGAGTGTGTCACAGGAGAGCTTCCAGATTCATGTTATTTCTTTTATAAGACAACTCCAAGTATGTATCTCCTGCTTCAGTGTTCTCTCCACTTTTAAGGCATCTGCTGCAGACATCATTTGAAGAAGCCCTACCCAGGCTGGCAAATCCTTACCTCCACTCTAAGGCTGCCTAGAAATGGAGCTCAGAGATGTGGAGTGACTTTCCCAAGAAGGAAAGCTGAGACTAACACACAGGTTTCAAGGGGTTTAAACTTGTGTTCATGAACTCCTAGGGAGGGGTCTTCTCTGAAGAAAACTGGGAAACCAAGAAGATGGGAAACTGAGACCCAGAACAGGATTGTGAGTTGAGAGCCCTTGCAGTGACTTGGGAAGCAAACTGAGAGCAGAGGCCAGGTCTCCTGATCCCATGTATAGTTGGCCTTTGTTCTAGGACTGGCAGCCACTGTCTCTCAACATGGCTTCCCTGAGGGAAGATTTCATATTTGCTCCTAAAGTATTAGGATTCACTTTTTCTCAGTTCCCAGATGGATCATTATACTCATCACCAGCATAAAGTCAAAGCTGTAGAACAATTGCAAATTTAAGTCACCTATATATGCACGGGGACTTTGCCGTCAATCCAGTAATATTAGCAAGAAATGTACATGCTTTGATAATAATATTTCCCTTTTCTTAAGATTTTTACAGTAACTTTTTCTTGGTCCCAGAGTAGGATGGTAAAAGAAAGGGGGGAGGGAACACTTTTAGAAAGATCTGCTCTATTACTGTATCTTTCTGTTTTACAAAGTCATCCCAAGCTTCATGGTCCAGAGCAAATTGACCTATCCATGGAGTCAAAGGAACAAAATGGTTGGAGATGGGATTTTCTGCCTTTATCTTGGCATTTGATTTGGATACATGGAAATAGGTAACATGATTTTTGGTAAGAGTCTTTCAAATCTGTCATTCATTAAACTT